AGGGGGGGGGTGGGGGGAGGGCAGGGGAGAGAGAGAGGGGATCGAAAAAGAGAAGACAGGAAACTGAAGAGAGCATCGAAGTGAGGCCGACGGCTCGGAGTAATTTCCACGGTAGCGTCGACCTGTCAATCATACTCGAAGGTACACAGTGCAAACGCGTACACGAAGCGTGACGATGGGAAGTCGATAAACTGACGTTTAAGGTGGGTTTTCTAGCGTGGCCGTAAAGCCACGTATAAGCATCGATAATACGAGTGGCATAGCTAGACACTTTCTATTCTCATTAAAAAGATACGTCGGCGATTAATGACACGTCTACGCGATCGAGATAGGAAGATTAAGAGCCTATCGATGATACGAAGAGATAGAGCAGTCTGTGAGGGTGAGAAAAAATAATAAGCAAAAATTTGTGCAGCATTGTCGAAAGCCGTGGACGTGCTTTTCGGTATTTTTAAAGGAGCTAAGAAAAAGAGGCAGAGAGAGAAAAAAGCTTTGAAAAGTAGATAAAAGCTTTAACGATTCGATGCTGAGGCATTTAGTGTTTTTCCGAGCGATAAATTGGTCGGACCTTAATACGACGACCTCCAGCACCTCGGTCCATCCGTCAATTCTCTTCATCTTCTTCACTGGAGCATCTCCGTTCCGAAGCCATTACTATGGAATCAAGCAAGACTTGTGTGTATCGGCTGTAAAAAGCTTAGGGTACGATAGAATAAGGTATTTGATAATTTTAAGAGAGAGAGAGGGAAGCACGGAATGTTATGAAAAATAATGACAAGCGAGAGAAGAAAAAGCGTCTGAATGATAAGGAAGATTTAATGTACGTGGGCCTCGTGCAGTAGACGAAGCAAGACCGAGGCTGCGTTGAGTGAGAACAAATCTCGGGGAACGTTCGCGGAATGAAGTATGAGCTGGATGTGAGGTTCTGGAAGAGTGAGAGAGGAGGTCGAGAAGTGGGAGAGAGAGAGAGAGGGACGAGCGAGAAGCAGAGTAATACGAAGGAGAGAGAGAGAGAGAGGGACGTCTGTGGAGGAAGAAGTACGAACGTATAGGCAGCTCAAGAGTCCAAGCCGAGGGGCCTGCTTCCAATAAAGAGCCCCGGCTATGTGGCTGCTATGGACTTATAGCATGGTGTACAATCCCACGCAAAAATTCCCTGCGCCTCGTAAGTGGGCGAAACGAAAGAGCGAAGAAAAGAAAAAAGGGAGGGAAGGAATAGTGGAATGAGAGGACGAAGAAGAAGAAAATGACGCGAGGACCAATCGCGCGTACAGTCTCGAACGTAAAGAGTTTTAAAAGCCAGCCAAGAACGTTTGCCTGGTGCCGAAAGCGTTGTGTGCGGTGAGCCCGTACGTATCGTATGGGATAATTAACTCGTTACGCCGAGGCAAGTACAGCCTTATTGGAAAGCATAGATTTTTCAGGCTAACTGCGGGATTTGGAATGAAGATTTCGGGGGGTTGAGGGATTGAGAAAAAAATGAAGGTCTGGTTGAGTTCCCATCTAAATGGAAATTTCATTTGGTATAAAAGGTGCCTTATTCTACCTCTCTATAGAAGCCATGGTGCAGGTATACCGACTTATCCACGGTTTTGTGAAGAGAGTATAGCATAGGGTGTATGTATAGTCATAACCAGCACGGTCACGATCCATAAGACCCCATTGCCCTTCCCGTACAATCCCTTTCAAGAAGCGCGGATCCTTCTAGCTATTCAAAGTCCAGTGGGTCGAAACTCTTAGACGTCATAGAATTCCATTTCTTCGTAAACGTGACTTCCTATTTGAATTGTGAAAACACCGAAACGGAGTATACCTCGCGACTGGTGAGTTTTCACAGATTTATATATACCTTATACCGGGTGAATTGTAATTTAGCACAGTCTTTTTCGCAGTACCCGTTATGCTGGCACCAGTGTAGCTAATGATAAGCCACAACGTTCCTTCCTTAGCTTACAAATAAACGTTAGTAGGGCTTAAGAGTAAAGTCCCCAGGAATAACGTTTTCTGTAGTATGAAAAAAAAAACTCCCTAGGGATTATAACTC